AATGGAATCCTTTAGTAACGTCGTTGGAACTTTTACTTTTCAAAGGCTGCATCCAGAGATATTTTGAAAAGCAATCGATAACCACTAAAATATATCTATATCCAGAATTTATCTTCGCAAACTCGAGCATTTCAATTAAATCAGCTTGCCATAAATCATCAATACCCTTCAATATGGTATGCCGTCGGGGGAATATGCGACGTGCGGGACGATGTATCTCTTCAACGATAATATGTTTAGCCTTTGATGGTAACATCCTCAAGGATTAGGTACAACTCGTTTTTCCAATGTATCAAGACGTGAATTTATAATGTTTTCCATATCATCTAAACGATTTAGTAAACTTCTAACACCGTCTTCAAGTGCAGTCAAAGTTCTAGTATGGGATGTTATGTTTTGTGTTAATGTGGCCTTATAGTTATTTAACCTTTGTTGATTCAATAAGATTTCAGTGTTAATACGTTTGATATCTTGTAAAATTGTAGCTAATTTATTTTCCAAACGAGTCAATTCCCCAGATGTATATAGTTGTTTAGAGTTCATTTGAGATCTAATACTCTGACATTCGGCAATTAATCTGTCTACGTTTGTTTGCAGTAAATCTTTCAACTTTTGTGAATTCGCATCAACATAGCTTTTTATAGCGCAATCACTATCATCAGTGGGATTTTGAATGTTGGATAGTTTACGACCTTGGAAATCGAAATCACCACTCGATGTTAATGGTATTCTACCACCGCCACTACCACCACCAATACCACCACCTTCAAATGCTGAAGTATTATAAAATTTATTACGAGACGTACGCCCAAACTTATCGATCCCCACACTACCAAATACTCGACTCATTGGTAAAAAAAATTATGAAATGATTTCACACTCCTTTAACTCCTCTAAAATTGATGTAATTTCATTCACATGGGAATTGTTCCCCGCAACTTGTGACGCGTACAACAATTTTAATCGGTCTACCAATTCGTTTGCATCATCCCAGTATTTATAATCAATATTCTTAGAGTTAACTTTAAGATGGTGACCACTCATTAAACCTCCTCCCCTAGACTTATGCTGCTGCGCAAGTGAATTCAATAGAGGTTTAATGTTTTTAGTATACTTTTGCGATTTAATTCCGACTACAACACCTTCATAGTTCCGTTTATGTGCGCCGGTATACTCCAGAATGGTTCCATAATTATTGAGATCGGATTGATTGTAATTTTTAGGTAATTTTAATTGTATAAGTTCGTAAAGACCTTGAGAAGTTGGAATAGATATTTCACCTCCAAGTAAAATTGATTTAGGTTTAAACTCAATGGATTTCGATCCTATCATCCAACCATTAGCTTTACCATCAAACCTTATACCCATTCTCTCATCAATACCTTTCTGCTGTCCACCATACATGGAATATAAATTTCGAACTTCGATAGGTAAATGTTCCAATGGAAATTCCTCCGTTTTGATTAGGCTTTTACTGGTAGGTGTTTTAAATACATCATCATTATCATCATCATCATCATCATCATCATATTCAATATCACTTTCAGGGAATTCTAATTTTTTTCTATTCAGAGTTTTAACATCTTGAACAATTTTTTTAACTTTAGTTGGCTTCAATTCACTATCATCAATTGATTCATGAAATTTCAATTTCTTTCCAATAGGCGTTTTAATGTCTTCAAATTTCCTTTTCAATTTAGTGGGGGGCTTCAATTCGCTATCATCGACGTGACTTTGACTGAGATGATAGTGTACGGAATGACCTTTATCAGCACTTAACTTATGGGAAATGTCTTGCAGTCTATCCGTTACAGGTTGATGTAGCTGTTTGATGAGACGATCATCACTCTCCCTACCAAGTTTAAGAGCTAAATACTTTTTCTTTATATTATTGGTTATAGCAATAATTGCTTTATCTCGTTTACGTAAAGTGTTTTTAGAAAGTTTACCATCGCTGGATGACATGTTCATCATCGCAATGAACTTTATGCGAATGTGATAATTTAGTCTGGGTAAATATATATATCCATTCCTATACGGTATCTACCATCCTTTACTTCAAAATCTTTCATAATAATCAAGGGGTCATATTTATCACTATTCCAACATCTTTTACACATATCTTTAAATACATCAAATTTCATATCCATATTTACATGCTCATCGTAAACATGTTTCAAATTAACCTCATCCTGCTTGAATAGGATCAAAACATTTGCGTTATCACGAATTAAATGTTTAGGAATACGTGTATACGTTTGAATGAGATAGAATGAATCGACATCCTTATGCCTCCCCATACAGAAAAACGCTCGAATCTTATCTTGTTTATCACAAGCAACATCATCAAATATAAATATCGAGTTAGATTTAGCTTCCATCGGATCGATAACCTCATCATTATCACTGAAACGATATAACCCAATAGCCGGCAACTTCTTCATAACTTTACTTAACAGTTCATATTTGGGTTGATATAGAGACTTTGAATATATATAGATATTTTCAAAACTTAAACCATTTTTATCGAAAATTAAGTTTATCATTAAGTTAGTTTTACCACACCCACTAGGACCACAAACTATAGCACGTAAACTATTCGGTATAAGATCTCCATGTCGACTTTTACTCATTGCTTGAGATTGAGTGAGTTTATCGAGATCGTGTAGTGATAATGAGAGAGATGGGTGTTTAACCACACGCATTTTACAGTAAACTATGAATTTGAAGATTATGAGCAGCTATATAAAGGATGCGGGGCTGGGGATATCGCACTCGAGTGGAAATGCTCTATAGAGAAAGTCATCGTCTATCTGCAGAGAAGGTTGATGGAAGAGGAATTCTAAATACAATCATAAATAAGCTTCCAGTCGAGTTACACATTCCATCGTATCAATACTGCGGACCTGGCACTAAATTGGAAAAGCGATTGAAACGTGGTGATAAAGGGATTAATCCATTGGATCAAGCTTGTAGAGAACACGATATAGCCTACTCTAAAAATACTGATATAAAACAACGTCACGAGGCGGATAGACGTTTGGAGGAGAGCGCTTGGGGGCGTGTGAAAGCTAACGATTCATCAATTGGGGAAAAGGTATCGTCTTGGTTCGTTACAAACGCTATGAAAGTGAAAAGAAAGTTAGGTATGGGGTGTATTAAACGTCGAAATAGAAAAAAAAGAGTGGTTAAAGTGAAGAAGACGAAGACGACCACTAAAGGTGGTTCATTAAAAATGAAACGCAAATTACAACCATTCAGAAGTAAATTGGTGAATCAGATAATTAAAACTTTACCGAAGTCAACTGATAATATAAGGGATTCTGCTCGATTGGCGATAAAAAGTGCACGAGTAGCTGTTAAATCTATGGGTGGCAAGAAAAAATTTAAACTACCTCGCGTAATACCAATACCAATTAAACATGGGGGTATATTACCCCTCCTACCAGCAATATTTGCTGGACTTTCAGCATTGAGTGCACTATCTGGAGGTGCGGCCGGAGTATATAGAGCGATAAAGAAAACGCAAGAATCTAAAGAAAAATTAAAAGAAGCTGAACGTCATAACAAAGCAATGGAAGATATTGCTATAGATAAATCGGGGAAAGGCCTTTACATTAAAAAATATAAAAAAGGTTTAGGTCTATATTTAAGTAAGAGGAGACAAAAAAACTTATAGATAGGCTACTCGACAGACCCCTATCAAATTTCGATATATTACGATATGCTAAACTGTTAAAGATTCCACATTTCCGCGGAGTTTTTATGAGGAACGCATTGCCTGAAGGAAAACCAAAGTACAATGAATCAGCTGTTGTAAATTTAGATAGTGAAAAGGGGGGAGGTACACATTGGGTGGCCTATAAGAAAAATGGCAATGATGTTATATATTTCGATAGCTATGGGGATCTCAAACCCCCAATGGAAGTGTTGAAGTACCTTAAAGAATGCGATATCATTTACAATCATGAAAATTTCCAAAGAGCTAATTCCTACAATTGTGGACATTTATGTATAAATTTCCTACTCAACGGCCTTAATCACTCATTCGGTTAAACATGTCGCAGACGTTAACACTCGTCAGCACGAAAAGCGAAATTTCCGAAGATTACTATCCACCCATTGAACTAGATCCACGTTCAAGTTACTCATTGGCTCTAATTGGTCTATACACCTATAACAGTATCCCCAATATTGAAGATGGTGTTAATAATAAATTCTATTTTACTGAAATTAATCCTATAAATACAAGTCGACAAGCGATAATATCAGCCGGACCTCCACGACAAGAAATTTCAATTCCAACAGGGGCCTATGAAATAAATGATATTGAATTATTTTTACAAAAGGAGATTTTACTACGCCTTGGGTTAACTACCGTGGAAAATCCTGAAAAGTTCTTCTCATTGAAGGCCAATAATAATACCTTACGATGTGAAATACAGAGTGAATATTTCGAAATTGATTTCACCGAATCGAACACAATTGCTTCGATTTTAGGGTTTTCAAATAGAAAGTTACAAGATTCGAAAAAGCATTACTCCGATCTACCGGTTAACATAATTCGTGTGACCACAGTTCGAGTGGAGTGTAATATAGTTTACGGTTCATATTACAATAGTAAAATGTCACATACACTATACGAATTCGCACCGTCAGTGGACCCTGGATTCAGTATAAATATAGAACCTACGAACCCCATATATCTATCAGTCGACAGCGATCGTCCGATATCGAACATCACTCTGAGATTAATTGATCAAAGAGGAAAATTGGTTAACTTTCGAGGGGAGGAAATTGTAATTAGACTGGAACTGAAACGCGCGTCTTAATGGGATTTGTGTTTAAAATTGGTGGGGGTGTTCAACCAAACCACCGCCGACACCCAGAAACCTATAGACGAAGAAGATATAAAGTTAGAAGGAAATCTCCAAAGTCAGTCTGTAGAAAGATATCATTGCGAGCGGACAACCGTAGATTTCTTGAAAATTTAGAATATAATGTCCAGCCAAAAGTTAAATATATATCGCGAACCAATCGTAGATAATTCCATCGCTAGAGAGGAAGTTCACAGCTACAATCCATCAACAAATTCCTTTGAAAACAATGATACATTCACGATAGACTTAAATCAAGAGGATGTGTTATTCTCATTTTTTGAAAGCTATATTAGGATTGAGGGGAAATTTGATGAAAGGCTAGCCGTCCAAGCAGATGAAATTCATTTAACGCACAACTTACCTGCATTTCTATTCGAGTATATCGCATTCGAACATAATGGTACTGAAATCGAACGAGTTCGTGAACCCGGTTTAACATCACTCATTAGAACCCTATTACGACAGAATGATGTAGAGTGTAAAGCATTAGAAATAGCTGGGTTAAAGTGGCCTCTCGAAGGAGGTTTACCTACGGTCGGTGCAAACAAGAGTTTTGTATTTCAAATACCATTGAGCCATATATTTGGAGTATTTAGAGATTACAATCATGTGATGAGAGGACGCTTTAAATTCAGATTTGTTAGAAGTCGCACTGATTCAAATTGTTACACATCCATATCCACAACTGCAACATTGAGTACGGCAGTATTTACTCTAAAATCGGTAACACTGTTAGCTAAGCATATCTATCCAAGTCCATCCATTAAGTTTAAGTTGTTAGACGGTTTAAATAAAAATTCAAATATACCAATACCATNGTTCGCAAAACAACGCATTAATATTAAAAAATTATGTGAACCAATCGAAATTTATGCTGTAAACCAATCAAAATGTATTGTACTGTAAAAAATAAATGTATATATTTTGTAAACTATTGAACTTTCATTCATTCAGTCCTTAACGTACAACAAGTTAAGATGTACCTCCATATTAATTTTAAATCTATTTACCTGTTGATATATATATTGAAATATATATCTGGAATGTTAAACGACGATACTGATGATATTTATAACCTTCTTGTTAAGTATGGACATATTTCGGCGGTGGACTTTGACGAACAACCCAATTTACATTTAGATCGTCAGGAAATGTTAGCTGAAGGTCTATCTCACTTTCAAAATTACTATCATCTCCCTATAACAGGGCAGGCTGATAATGATACGTTAAAGCTACTGTTAAAACCCCAATGTGGTAATTTGGATGTTTATACAAATTTAAACTATAAACATATAACGCGTAAGTGGAACTTTACTAAAATTAAATGGGGTTTGTTCCAACCATATCATCTACAGTCCGTAGAGCTATTTAGAAAGGCGTTTAACGTTTGGTCTGAGCATATAAATTTACAATTTCAAAAAACTTATCGAGATATTAACATTTTAATCGGGTTTCGAAGTGTGAATCATACACTTATCCAAAATCCTAGGATAAATTGCCCCGCTAAATTTGACTGTAAAGGAGGTGTGCTAGCTCACGCAGAGTATCCGAGTATACATAAAGATAAAGTTGAAATTCATATAGACATAGACGAGAATTGGAATTTCACTAATAATAACGAAAATGAAGTCAATTTATTACCAGTTATTATACATGAAATTGGACACTCTTTAGGGTTAGATCATAATAATCGAAATGATTCCGTAATGTATGCATATTATGGTGGAGTTGAAACCTTAAGTCAGCATGACATTGATAATATACAGAGAATCTATGGACGTAAATCACTTGATAAACCTAGTATCTCTACAACAACCTCAATTCCCACTACAAATAGAACTCAAACTTCGACTACAACAAGAACAACAACAACAACAACAACAGTAAGGCCATCACCATCAACAACAACAACAACAACAATAAGGTCAACATCAGTTTCAACTGTCAACGTCTCCCATATATGCGATGTGGATGAAAAGTTCACAGCATTTTTAATTTACGATAAAATAGTCTACGTTTTCTTTAAGCAGTGGGTTTGGTTAATTGATCTAAAGACTAAAAAACCGATTCAATCCGAAGCTGTAAACATTTTAGATTGGATACACCCCTTGAGAGGGGTTTTAGACAATAGCGACTATGACTATGTAGTGTCAGTAGATTCAAATGGTCTATTCACATTTATTATCAAAAATGAAATATATATAATTGAAATTAAGAGTTTAACTGTAAGGTATAAATATAGATTTTCTGAAACTGAATTAGGTTTAACTGATGCAAGTAAAATTAGAGGTGTGGTTGCCAATAATTACGGTTTGACATATATCTTTTTCGATAAACATTATATCATCCAGGTAGATGAGTACTTTACAGAAGAAAAAAGATTATAATGTCTGCAGATGAATTCTTTCCGGGAATTTCAAACAACTTCAGCGGTGTATATAAAACGCCTGATGGCTTATTAAATTTCTTTATATATTTAAAAGAGGTTTTGAGTAGTTCGAAAAAGAACCTATCTTTATTAGATATATCTTGTCCCTATAATTGATAAACTCAAATATATATTGTCTACAATAATTTTATCAAATATCACAATTCCAGCGGAAAATTAAATATGTTATGTATCAAATGTAAAAACTAAAAAAAAATGTAAAAATGTATCAAACAAACTTATTTAGGTTCTATGTAAATAAAAATTTTTCCACTTGTTTATTACATTTGTGGTTTTTTGTTTTTTGAAGTAGAATTAATTATCTTGACCAACTGTCATCCGTTTGTGGTTTTTTGTTTTTTTGAAACTGCTGTCTGTTTTTTACCGCAATTATCTACAACTTATTTTATTATTTAAAGACAATAGATATATAAAGGATGTTCTCGTTACCGAAAAGTTAATAGCATTTGTTCGTGATCGCGTAGACACCGTGTTATTTTTTATTTCCGAAAGTGAAAAGAAAAAAGCTCTAAACATGTTTATTTGTGAGTTCTGTCAAGTGTCTTTTACGGCGAAACATAATCTTGACAGGCATATGCGAGGTAAACATGGTCAAACTAATTTCGATTGTACCGTGTGTGGAGGAAAATTTTCAAGACGAGATAACTTGAACGTACATCTGAAACGATCTCATGGGTTATCTATGAAACGTCAAGCACCACCACCACCATTACCATCAACCATCGAACATCGATCAAATCTAGAGATGGAAGTTCCCGGTACATCTACTAAACATCAATCAAATTTGGAGATGGTAGTACCAACACCATCAACATCCCCACCACCACCACCACCACCACTAGGTAATAAACGTCATCGATATTCAGCACGTCTAGAGTCCATGATCGAAAACGATGGAAGGGTATGTCAAGTTTGTGGCGATTTACTACCATCACTTATCTCGCTTGAATGCCATCTTAGAACTGAGCATGTTGAAATAATCGATGATAATGTTAAAAAATTTAAGTCTTGCTATAAAAATAGGGTAGTTTGCTATAGAATTGATGGAGCTCAACCTGATGATGATATACCGTCATATCTATTGAAATGTTGTGAAACAGTTAATCGACTGATTGAACAACATCTCAATAGGACTGGTTCGGTAAAAGCTTAGATTGAGTTATTAGCAAATTATATTAAGTCCGGATTTGATGATGATATATAATGTATTAGTCGTATTGTCAATTGTAAATTGGTATTACAACATTTTTGAATTAGTTGAAATAATAGTTGTTAATTTATCCATTTCTTTAGATATAAAACCCAAAGCTTTTATTAATAAGATATTTCAACTAAATATTAGATGAAATAACTACTACATAATACGTTGTTATATCGATATTCAATAGTAAAAAAATCTAATCGTTCTTGTCGGAAATATATCTACATAATCAGAGGTCCATAAACTATTTTAGTAGATGAAATGATTATAAATTGTAACCATTTCAATTAGCTAAATTAACTACTACATTTAACAAACGTATTAAGTATTTAAAGTAAACAATCTATAAAATTATATTAGTTAAAATAACTGCAACGGTAGGCGAAACTACCACAATTTGGCGGCGCATTGTAGTTTATATGTGACGTCATCAACATCTCCGCTTCGGGCTTCAGTTTCATTCGTATAGAAACTATGATCGTGTTAATAAGTGTTCTCGTGTTTCCGAGTTGGTACAGTACTAATAATGTTCCAAGACGCCATAGTAGTAGACGAGGCCAACGTGGTTGCAAATTTATTGGAGAGTTGGGGTGTTTCACAACTAATTAACGATTTTGAAGGTAAGTGAAAAGATTAATCATTATGATACGGAATTAGTGCGTTTTCGATGTGACAATTTTTTTCTGTTGAGCATTTTTCTGTGTTGCGTTTATTATAATATTTTTAGTATAATATAGTCATTTCGTTGTTTGTTAGAATGTTTTCATTCTTGCATTTCGCGTTAATTTCTTAAAATACAATTAAAAGCAATTTTATATTCGGTTTTTTAGTTAGAGACGGAAAATTCGTTAAATCAGGCGTCTCACCGCTGGCGCCTGGCGTCCCGTGATCACCATCGTCGCGTCTACTTTTTTTTTTACCTACGTAAAATAATTATAATTGGTAGTATTTTATTAATATTATATCCTTTTTTTAAACAATACTTTTTCCTTTTCAATGCTTTCACCTTTAATTTTATGTTTTTGCTTAGTAGGTAGATAATGCGCAAGCATTTTACTAATTTATTAAAAAAGTTAGTTTGAAATTAACCCATTTATGCCCAGAACTATTTTTGGTGTAGTTTTTTGATAAACATTTTATTAGTTGATAGTTGATAAGTATAGAGGGTTGCACACAGGGTTGTTAAGTTTTAAACAATTTGTTTAAAACCTATTGTTTAAAACATATTTAACCTGTTAACCGGGCATGACGTATCAATACGTCAAAAAATAAATTTTTTTTTTTTGTCGTGATATGGATAGTACTACTATAGTAAGTATGATAACTCAGCCAAAAAATCAAAAAAAAAAATCGAAAAAAAAAGTGGCCCGGTTAACAGGTTAAAACACTAACATATGTTTAAAACCAAAGGCTATGGCCGGGTAAGCATGCAAAAAGTGCATGCTTACAGTCATGAATATTTTTAAAATTATCCCGAGTCAAAGACTCGGGGTCGTTTACAGTTTTCGAAAAACAAAGCATCCCTTTCTTCAGTATTAAAAAAAATTCTTGATACAAATTTTATTTTTTTAAATTTATTTCTTCTAAAAACATAAGAAAAACAAAATAACACAAAAAGAAATATTTTTGTTCAAGAATTAATCCACGATTAGCAAAGATAAAAATCATGAGTTTAAATTTAGTTTAATCTTTTTTAAATTTCAATTATTTCCTGCCCAAAAATGATTCTTTTTGTGTTATTTCGTTTTTCTTATGTTTTTAGAAGAAATAAATTTAAAAAATTAAAAATTTGTAACAAGAATTTCTTTAAAAACAGAAGAAAGGGATGCTTCGTTTTTCAAAAACTGTAAACGACACAAAAAAATGTTTCAAACAAAAATTATGTGGAATTATGTCATTTAACAAACTGTTAAATCGATTTTAAAAATTTCTTAAACATAGTGAAATTTTCATCCACTTCCGGTCTAACCGGAAGTGATAAAGCCACAACGCTAACCTCAAAAGGTAGACCTTTTTGTCCTGTATCGATGTTCCAAATGTCAAATCTGTGGGAGTTATACCACAAGTTATACTTTAGGAGAAAAACGGGGGGTCCCAAAAAGTTGGGACACCCGTATACTAAAACTAAAACAAAATTTACTAAAAACTAACAGACTTATTAATGATTTTCACTTTTCACTATTTAATTCTTTAAATATAGAAACTAATTTAACCCGACTATATTTAATTTACACTTCTTGTATTTACGTCGTATCTTATTACCATCCTTAATCTCTTCGAAATAGGACCAAGCGGGGTCCTATACGCGCTAGAAACGATGGGGGTTCCCCGAATGATATCGATTTCTGATTTAGTACATAAATGGTACGAATATTCGCTAGTTTAAAACACATGTTTAAAACAGGTTTTATTTGTTTAAAACTGATTTTTTAAGCAACGTCGTAAAATGGGTTTAAAACAAAAAGAAACAGTTTAAAACAATAAAAAACAGGTGTTTTGTTTAAAATAAAAAAAAAAACATGTTTTTTTTCAACCCTGGTTGCACATATTTTAGTCACTGGGTCGTTTTCGACCCGTTGGGCATAAATGGGTTAATTGATACTTCATTATGGCCTAAATTGGAATAATAAATTGTTTGAATTTGAAACCAGAAGTTAATTAAATCAATTTATTTTGTATTTTTTTTAGCAAAAGGTATTGATATAGAGGTGTTGAAGGAGCTAACATTAAATGACATCGACAATCTAATACTTACCTCACAATTTGGTCTAACAGTAAAGTTTAGGAAGGCGTTGTTTATATGGAAGACAGAAAATGTTGGTATTTGTTTCATCTTATTATCAATACACATTAGGGTCGGTCAAATTTGATTTTTTTTTTATTCAGCCATATGAATTCTAAGAAAAAAAATTCAGTAAACCATATCTCTAAATCAATTTTTTAGCTCCCCAATTTTCAATTGTAGTAGGCTGTATGACACGGTAACAAATTTGTTATAAAATTAGCGACATAAATTTCTCTACTGTGTAAATTTCACATTAAAAATGCGCAGACTGTAAACCCATAGACCCATAGAAACTAAACCTATAAACAATAAAATGTCATGTCTCGTGAAACAAAGGTAGTTTCGGTAAAATGTAGGATTTTCTGAGAGAAGTTCATTGTTTAACATCTTTAACATTTTAATAAGTCCTTTCCTTGATTGCGTCGCTGCAACCATTTCTTACACTACAATAGACGTTTATTCTACGTTTTTTCAGATAATAAAACACTGATCAAAAGGCTAACTCATGTTGTCGATAGTGCAAACTATAATAGAATCCAATTTTCTTTCATTTAATTTTTGTTCAAACCATTAAGACCAAAATACCTATTAAATAACATGACAATTTATTGACATGTTACCGTATCAAACAATTAATTTTAGAGGCAAAAATTACATTCAAATTTGCTATCAAAGCTGTTAAATTCGCGCGATAAATTTACGTCGTAAATTTTGTATCAAATTTGTTTCCGTGTCATACAGCCTTTATAATGTTTTCTACAACTAGATAAACTTGAAAATCGGGGGGCAAAAAATTTGGTTTAGAGATAGGGTCCACTGGAGTTTTTTTCTTAGAATTCAGTGCAGAATACGAATATGACCGAATAAAAAAAAAATTGTATAGTAATTTGACCCGCCCTAATATACATAGCTATGTATAGAAGTGTTCTTGGAAACTGCGTCGCGTAGGACGAGAACCACTGTGAGTTCCGACATGCCCCACAAGCCCATCTCCCTGAATTTCGTGTGCGCTCGACACAGCCCGCTTGGCCAGCCGCATTTCGGATCTCACAGCGGCTCTCGTCCTACGCGACGCAGTTTACAAGAACACCTCTGTACTTATACGGGGTCTCCTACGGAAGTGGGACATAAGGTTTGATAGAGAAAGTACAGTTGCAATAGTAAGAGATGTAAGTATATTTTAAGGGTAGTGTCATGTCTCAATCACTTTCGGTTATACCGGAAATGGCTACAACCATCATTATTTTTTAAAAAATTTTAATGTTTTCTTTTAGCAGTTACATTACTTAATTCTGAAATACTTATACTCGAAGAAATTTTTTGTATCGTTAAAAAAAAAATTTCCGGTATAGCCGGAAGTGATGGAAACAACACTACCTTCAAAAAGACATCCTTGCTCTGTATCGATGTGAGAAAATGTCAAATCCATGGCATCTATAGATTCCCTATAATATGCTACGTTTCACTTCCGTTGGACACCTGTATGTATTTATATTACATTGGAAATATTTTAGGGATATCTGACACCACTACCATCCACCGAAAGTGCATGTACAACACCCTCTAGTTTAAGCAGTTGGTTATATGAAAACAGTACTATTGAGGTTGATAAAGAAGGTGAGGAAAATAAGGAAAATGAACACAACATATTCTCACTGGTAATTATTATTTCCATTACTTTTTTTTTATTATGACTTTTAAATATAAATCATTTGTATTAAGGGTTTAGAAAAATTACTGCAGTCGACAATAACTGGAAAAATAATACTTCAAGATAGTGGTGCCCAAAAGTTTTTAAGTGTAAAGAATAGACATGCACTCACTACAATCATAGCCCAGTACTTACTAGACCATGACGTAACAGTGGGAAAAGCCGTCTACCAGGATATACTCAAAAAAATTTAAAAAAATTTTCTTAGAGAGGATGAGGTTTGTTATATAATACAATTAAAGTAATAGACGCTAATATAATTGCTGTTCACAGGTAACATATATTGGTGAAAAATTCAAAAGAGGAAAACTAGTAGAAAAGTATTATAATTTGTCAAAAAAATATCGAAACGTTGGTATCATTAAAAGTAAATACAAACGAAAACGTTCTACGGACAGTGAGTCAACAAGTAATTCAATTAATGAAGAAAGTGAAGACATTTTAGAAAAAGTAAGCGGTGATAAGGAATGGTTACGATATAATCAGTCTCCTATAGACATTGTTGAGAAAAAGTAGAAAAATACTTTTGGCATTAGAAGAAAAGACATTTTAAATGGATGTGGACGTAAACTGGCCGATCTTTAATCAAAATATTGACGTAACATTGGTAAGAATTTGTTGTAATAGCACTTTTAACTAAATTTATAATTATCCTTAATCGATTTTATTCTCAGTTTGAATTGGATTTTAATGTGCTACACAAAGATAGGTGTCAATTATTATTCTTGAAATGGCCCTCATTTTGTGATAAAATTACCGCAATTTACAAAAAGGACGTCAACGACAAGAAATGTAAACAAATATTAAGCTTACTAGAAAAATGTGATTTGCCGGAAGGTATTTTTATAATATGCCCACTTACCAACAGCTATTAAACTANAACTAGATCAATTATCCACATTTTGTCGTTAAAACAACAAGTTATTTTCTATAAAATGTTTATTATTACACATTAAAATTACTATTTCGACTAGATATAAGACCTAAAAAAAGGCGATGTAATACCAACAATAATTTTTTACATTGACTAATATTAACTAGATCAATTATCCACATTTTGTCGTTAAAACAACAAGTTATTTTCTATAAAATGTTTATTATTACACATTAAAATTACTATTTCGACTAGATATAAGACCTAAAAAAAGGCGATGTAATACCAACAATAATTTTTTACATTGACTAATATTAACTAGATCAATTATCCACATTTTGTCGTTAAAACAACAAGTTATTTTCTATAAAATGTTTATTATTACACATTAAAATTACTATTTCGACTAGATATAAGACCTAAAAAAAGGCGATGTAATACCAACAATAATTTTTTACATTGACTAATATTAACTAGATCAATTATCCACATTTTGTCGTTAAAACAACAAGTTATTTTCTATAAAATGTTTATTATTACACATTAAAATTACTATTTCGACTAGATATAAGACCTAAAAAAAGGCGATGTAATACCAACAATAATTTTTTACATTGACTAATATTAACTAGATCAATTATCCACATTTTGTCGTTAAAACAACAAGTTATTTTCTATAAAATGTTTATTATTACACATTAAAATTAGTTTTTTGTTAGCTAATACATTACACGAATACTTTAAATCTGCTGTTTGTTCAGGTACTGTAACTGAAAACAATAGCTAAGTCTATTTATTTTCCTAAGCATTACTATTAAGATACATTGAAGTATCTACTTAATAAATATAAATAGTTAAATTCGCCACTTTAATACTCAACTAATTTCAATTAGTTGTAACACCTATTTTATTTAGTTAGCTAACTTTTAACCACGAATTCTAGGCAATTTAACTAGAATTTAGTTAATCTATCTACAGTTTTTCTCTCTGTGTAGTAAACTTTCATGTTATAAGCGTTATCAAACAATACTGTGCGAGTTAAGACAACTCGATATAAAAATAAAACGTTCTCTACAATTTTTAAATAAAAGGGGTGAAGGGTTAAATAGAAGGACACGAAGTAAACGGGTGAGATGGCAAGATATCGCTTCAGCATTCGAATCTCGATTACGAACGGCAGCGATCGTCAATTTAACGCATATAGATCCACAAAAATTTTTGAAAGATTGTGTTCCACTCATTAAATCAAGAATCCGAAACATATTAAAAAAAATGAGCGGAGTAAAAGTGAATGTAGAACTATCAAGTAATTTTATTATTCCCACGACCGAAGAACAGGATATCAAATATTTTAATACACCTAACAGGGTAATATTACAATCTTCATGTATCAACACAATCTTAAATGAATTTATCGAGATAATTTTGGCTCAGGTTAGTTTCTTTCTATGTTTTATAAAAGCATATTAATTAGCTATTATTTTTTTTATTGAGATGAGTGAATTCGCTGAGCGAGATTCTGGTTGGGCATTCCTCTCCCTCAATTATTTATTGGTCTGCATCAATAAATATTCGCCCATCCACGGAGGTAGCTATATAGAGTTGCCTAGTAACTTGAGTAATAGGAAAAAAGGAGCGATTCTTAATATTCGAAATTTAAACGATAATTTGTGTTTTATTTATTGTATGCTGGCTTCTATATATAAAATCAACTCAATAGAGGCACGATCATATAATTATTACAATATTGAAAAGATCTTTAATTTGCAAGGATTAGATTTTCCTCTTAAATTATCGGATATTAGTAAATTTGAAAAACAGAATCCTACAATGTCTATTAATGTTTTCGGATTCAATGATGCTTTAGAATTAGTAGGACCATACTATCATACAAAACAAATAAAAGATAACCATTGTAATTTACTAATTTTGGAAAAAAATAATTTGCATCATTACTGCTTAATACACGATTTAG